CGGAACCACGAGCAACCGGCTTGTTAAGTCGAAAACAATCCGTGACGAGGAAAGCATCGTCCCGATGTTTATTACGGAGAAATGAAGACGGATATTGCCGATATCCGCGAGGACACGATTAAGTTCGATGGGTAATTAACCAGGAAAATTTTACCCCATTTTTACGATACCGTTGCGACTGAATTATAAGCAGAATTTCGCAGATGTTTTAAAAATTCGTTCCCCTCTGCCAATTTTTCTATTTTCTCCGAAATTTACGGGTTCCTCGGGTCTCGTGATCGCGTTTGAACGTGTCACAAAGATGTCGGGAAATAGGTTGCTCGCGATCCACTTTATCGTCCGACCAAAGTTCCGGAGGCGAGGAAGTTTCCTCCGTGCATTAATAAGCACGTTTCCACGAACATTGCGCGCGGGAGAATAAAACCACGCCAGTGACTATACTTAGCGTTGATCCGATTCACCTGAAGCTTACCCCCTTCGGGGAAAAGCACCGCGACCCTGTCAACGGTTCTCGCGTATGGAGGAAAAAAGGGCAGAGGTGAGCTGGAAAATTCAATAAGCCTGGTCCTGACGGACAGATAAGGAAGATACGGCATTGTTCGGTTGACGCGAAGATAAAACGCGGCTCACCGGTGACGATAACGAACCATCAACGGAGACGAGCCCGGGAAAGGAACAGGGGAGGAAAAATGGGAAAGAAAGAGGAAGGTACGATGAATATTTTAAGGGCTCCGCCAATAACGCCTGGCTCACTGGATGAATGGAAGGAGACGGCCATCGAGGACCGGACAATCGGCAATGACGAATTCCTTTCAATATTTCATCAGGTCTATAGACTACGGTCGGTGCTCTCGTTCCTCGTGTTCCGGATCGATCGTCTTCGGCACTTCCGCTGGGAAAACCGTGATGAGGCGAATTCACGCTGGAACGATCGCGTTGGGACTCACGGATCGGATTCTATCCTCGAAACTTTCTCGAGCAACATCTCGACGGGAATTTCCTCGAAGGGGGCGCGCGAGGAAACGAAGAAATTTAGCTTCTAATGCGCCATTGCGTAATGGCGACTGCGTATTTGCGATTTAATGGAATTTCGTGGCTCGATTCGAGACATCGATACGCGAGGAAAGGAGAAAGAGCGCACTTTTCCGGATAGATCGCGGGGCTCGCTTCGAAATTCGGCGTCACGGTGCGAACCGAGGCTTTGCGAGAAAGTAACGTAATACGAAGTTCAGTGTCGAAGGGCTATCGTTTTACGAACGACACCCGATCTTTCTCTTACCGAGAAGTTAAATGGCCGCGATTAGAGCGATCGCGGGGACGTTCGATTCGGCGTTATCGTATCGGGGCACGAGAATGGGGCGTCACGGGTCGCGCGATCGCAGCGCCGCGGCGGGGTACGTCGCGACGCATTATCCTTCGCTGCGCGGACGCTAGAGATCGAAGCAGAGATCGAAGCAAAGATCGGACAAAGTGTCGGCGACGAGGGAACGAGAGGGAAAACGGGCAGGCGGAAGGAAAAAGAAGGCAGCGCGATCGGGTAACGCGCGTAATCGTTATTACCGTGGTGGCGTTTACGCGAGCACGATGACGAGGTGGAAGTTTTCTGCAAATGTCACGGGAGAAGACTCGAACGGGGCTGGCCACAGCTGTTTCTATAAATAACCAACCCCGACTCGATGCAACAGCGCGCTCGCGGCCCGCCAGATTCTGCATCTTCTCTCTCGAAACCGCGCCGCGGCAAACTATGGTTATTGACCCTCACACACGCGGCCGCCCGCCAACTATTTTCGTTTGGAAAATAGCGAACCGGGGTATAATTCAGCCTCGTAATAAGAATTCCTCCCGACTCCTCCGTCCGTTCCGCCCTGCCAGGATCGTGGATTCGGACATGCGATTTCGACGGAGAAAATTTGGAAAATCGGCCAATCACGGATGCGTACCCGATAGCGAACCCGAGGAAGGGACCTGGTTCCGACGAACCAGACATTTCGAGGAACGTTGCGTCACTGCGAAACAACGGTAGCACACCAGCGACGACCGGATGCAATTTGTGGTTTCTTTCGGGACACTTGCACGCGCTGGTCGGCGAGATCAAAGGCTCGTTAGCGACGTATTGCCGTGAAACTGCGGCAAAATGGATTCAGAATGCTATCCGACGACGTTTCCTCTCGGTTAATCGCGCGTTTCGAGCGACCAGGGTGCACTGACCTTCGATCACAAGCGTTTTATAGGAGGTAGTAATATGAAATTACGGTTGCCCCGACTGTGACTCGAGTACTCTGCGAATAATCCTAAACCGGGTTCTGTCTTGAACTAATTTGCAATTTATCACCTCTCTTTTATCTCTACTACCGATAAAACTGTACCTCGTCTGCCTCCATTACGACTACTCGAACAAATAAAAACGATGAACGGCTCGTTTAAAATGCCAAATTTAAAAGATAAATCCTAGAGAAGGAAAGAAAAATATATCTGAAAACAGTCGCCGAGGGAATAAAATTTTCTCCACTAACCTCGAATTTTAGGAATCTCAAAGCACACACCTCCGCTGTATAGATAACCCGTCGCTGGGAAAAATTCGTCATCCGGGTTCGGTTCGGTCGTGGATGTACGCGCGAGGAGACCCCGGAACCTCTTCGGAGCCGAGCATCCAGCGCGTATTCGAAAGCGCGTGAGATATGGTATCGAGGCACTCGTCCGGCAATCGTCGCGGCACGGTGCACGTTCGATACTGCAATCTCTGCTGGACGATCGACATCCGAGATTCGGGGAACGAGCCGTTGCATCGCGTTTTATGGCGCGTTTTACTCCGGTGTGCCTGACCATCGGTCTTCTCTCCTCTCTGTCCCTCCCTGTCTCTCTCCTCCTACTCTCCTGTCGATCCGACCGACCGTCTCTTTCGCCGTAAAGGAGGCTCGAGCAGCGGTGCAGGGTCATGGCCGGACATCGTCTGCCATACTCTCGCCTCTACACCCACGCTACATCTGTTATACTCGCCCCCTTTCGCTCGCTGCACCCTCGTAAAGCCGCGTTTCATTATGCGCCGAATATAAGTTACCGCAATTTACGCCTCTAGCTCCATCCTCTCTCTCTCTCTCTCTCTCTCTCTCTCTCTCTCTCTTTCTTTCTCTCTCTCTCTTCTTCCTCGGTCTCTGTGCCAGTCTATCGCGCGTTGCATTCGAACCGAATTTCTGTGACTATCGCGCACCCCGAGGACCACCTCGCGAGGGTAAAAATTAGAAAATCGGTGCATGGGGTGGAAAGTAAGCGATTGGGTAGTTTCGAAGAAAACTACGTTAGTGGATATAGATATCGTGCAAAGCAAAAGCAAGTTTGTTAGTAGATACGAATTAGAGTTTGAAAAGAAGAGACTCGGAGAATGGAAGAAGCAAGAACTCGAGAGGAGAGGACATTGAAACACGAAATCGAATTAATCACGCGATGACACGCTAGTCTCGCGGCCTACGTGTCCTTTTTCTCTGCGGCGTGCGCGGAATCACGGGAGAAGGTGTCGAGATATCTCGCGAGTATCGCGATGGACCGGAATTTTTCGACGCTGACTCACGGGACAACGACCGCTGTCAAATGTATCAGAATTTTCGACAAATCGTGCAACACCGAGTCAATGACCTGCACGAGACGATCTCTCGCCAGTGCCAAACGAACGCGGAGCGTACTTTCCCCGATCCTACGCCGCTTCGTTCGCCCGAAAGCGTAGCTTTCGATCGTCACTCCGTGCCTTTTTCTTCTCTTTTCCAATTTTATCGAAAATCAATCGTTTTTCGAACGATTTCGTTTGCTTTTTTACGAACTGACTCGGAAATGATGGACGATCGACGAAATTTCGGAAAGGTTTCGCGATTCGTTCTCCGCGGCGACTGCCTCTGGAGGAAACGCGCGAGAAATAGTTGGCAGCTTCTGAAGGAAAAGTGGACGCAGAGTGGCGTTATTCGACTGGAAAGTGATCCGCGTTGCAGCGCGCGACAACCACGTGTTGCATTTCTAGTCGATACGCAGCGTGCTGTCCTACTCTCGAGCGTTGTGTACGTGTGAGTGGGAATGAATTGCGTCTCACGCATTATTAATTTCAACGTATACAAAGTTTATTGAAAGTCACAATTTTTCATTGGTGCTTACAAAGTGTATAAAAAAGGGAGGTAACAGAAGTGACAGACATGGCGTAATAAATAAATAAATAAATAGTTACAGGGCGGAATTAAAAGAGAAAAGACAACCGCGTTATCGTGGTATTTGTCAAAAATATATAATATTCTTGTAAAATTTATAGATTTCTCTAGATCGAAGCGCAGCTTCGACACGTTGCGAATCATCGTGATCGATCCTCGATCGTTAGGCGACCTTTCCTTCTCTTTCTTTTCTGTCAGCTAAACTCTCGAGCAAGTATGATTCTATAATTTGATATTTCTCTCGACTAGACCGACGGAGCCTCCGTGGCTGGTAAAAACGCTGGTAGGCGCATTACCCGTCTTCTAATGTACATCTCTTGCTGAAATGCCGTCGGAAGGATATCGTAGCGAGAACGCGTAGACCCAGTGGACACATCCTAGTCATGGAGGCGGAGGCAGATGGTAAAAGAAAGAAAAGAGCGGT